CTTAATGATCCATGTATAGATAGATATACATTTGGATCGACAAATTTTGATTGATATTCTTTGTCGTAGGTAGAAGCCTTTTTGGATCACCTGTAATCAAAAACGTAACCTTTGACCTATTGTTTTGAATAATTTTAGGACTTTTTTAATTGTATATATTTATATTTATCTTTATAGATGTGTTCGAATATATTAAAAATAAATATAATCAATTGTAAGCAATATTTCAACAGTATATTTTTTATCAGTTTTGCAGGATTTTAATAATAAGTAGCTTAAACTTGAAATTATTTAAAGCAATTTTTTAAAATTTAATATTATAATAGTTATCGTGGGAGTGAGATTTCCAAATGTTTTAAAATCGATAGAGCCATAGCAGCAGGTTTCATAAAATCATATATATACATATCATATTTTTTAATTAACACTAACCATACAATATATTTATGAACGACATGTAATTATCTGAAAATCTCTATAATTCGGATTTATCAAATTCATCAAATTGACCATTCTCCTTAATAAGACTATTAATCTCACGGAGTTATAAAAAGAATTCCATATTGTTATAACCGGTTTATTAGATATCTTCCCATTTTTTCCTTAAATGACTTCACAGTTTCGAGACTGCCCATATTTATTCCACAATTGGGAAAAATATTTGAGTTGGGATACTTTTTAACAAAGTTCAGACTTTGTACCTTAGTTTTCTTTAATGTTTTATATTAGCCCCAGGGCAGGTTAAGTAATCTTCTTCTGAAGAAATATGTATAATTAAAGAGATAAAGAAAAATTATCATATCTTGATTGATTCATGTTAAATAATGGGAATTGATTTTTTTATATTTAAATTTGTATTGATATTTTGTATAACTTTAATTGGTATTATTTGAATATAACCTTATTTAATATTTAATATGTTTATGGAAACTTACGATTATTTTAGCCTGTAACCTTGCTTTTGTTTAAATTGTTTTTGTAATATACAGGGTTTCCCATTCAAAAAAGGAAGTTTCAATCATAAAAAAAAAAGGTCCGATCAAAAAAGGAAAAGGTCCAAACAAAAAAGGAAAAGGTTCAATCAAAAAAGGAAAAGGTCCAAACAAAAAAGGAAAATTTCCAAAAAGAAAGGAAAAAGTCCGATTAAAAAGGAAAAGTGTCAAACAAAAAAGGAAAAGGTTCAATCAAAAAAGGAAAATTCCCAAAAGAAAAGGAAAATTCCCAAAAGAAAAGGAAAAGTGTCAATCAAAAAAGGAAAATTCCCATTCAAAAAAGGAAAATCGTATTTTTTTTAAATTTTTTTAAAAAATTTTATAAATTTTTCAATTTTTCTTAAATTTTTATTTATCTTATTTTATTTCTAACTTTTTGCGATTTCTTTACTTTATTTGTATCTTTTCTCAATTTATTTTTCTTACAATATTTTTTCTCAATTTTTATTCTTCTCATTTTTGATAATTCTTTTGTATTTTTAAAAATAATTAATAAATTTAGGTCCATTTTTTAACAATACTTTACGTTTTTTTTTCATCATACATATGTCGTAATTTATAAATGGATCATAACTATCCGGGATATTCACGGGATTTAAAGGGATCCCTATAAAATTAAAAATTACTATTTTTTAAAGCATAAAGAACACGGCATTATCACGTTTGAACCATGATATAGAAGAATCTTATCTTAAAAAGCATTTTCCATGCGTTTCGTTTCGTTTCGTTTTTTTATTTAATTGTTATTCATCAATTTTTTATGTTGTTTTTTTGGCCTTATGAAATAAGATATGTCAAATATAGGGTATGAATTGATGGCTAATCAAAAGATCTATTCAACTGGAAGTCAATCTCTCCCCCATAATGGGCTGGTCTAGGTCTTGTGGGGTGAGAAATTTTTTATCAACACATCGATATGGGTATCAAATAAAAGCTAATTTTAATAAGGTTTGACTGAAAGTCTTCATTCTTGGTCTGGATGGGTATGACTTGGTCTGAGGGTGGGGGTAGGGGTGTATGGAGGGGTGGTGTAAAAAATAATTTTTTTTGATATGGGTATCAAATAAAAGCTAATTTTAATATCGTTTGACTGAAAGTCTTTATTCTTGGCCTGGATGGGTATGACTTAGTCTGGGGGGAAGAAAAGGACATACATTGAAATATTTACCACCCTACAGTCCGTATCTTAATCCTATTGAGAATGTGTTTTTCAATGGAAGGATTTTGTCAGAAATAAAAATCCTAGTAACGAGGAAGAATTAATTCGTTTCATAGAACATGGAGAAAGAGGAATATCTGAGGAAAATGCCAAAAATTATTTTAGAAATATGGAGACCTATATTCCAAAATGTAGAAGGGGAGAAATTATTAATGATTAATATAAATTTTGTTTCTTACTATATTAAATATATATCGTAATTGTAATTAAATAATTTGATATGTAAAAAATTATAATAAAAAGTTGTCTGCCAAAAATTTAGTGAAAATTAAATATACTTAAAAGAATTATCAAAAATGAGTAGAAAAAAAATTGAGAAAAGATATAGTAAGAAAAATAAATTGAGAAAAGATACAAATAAAGCAAAGAAATCGCAAAAAGTTAAGAAGGAATGACAAAAATAAATAAAATTTAAGAAGGAATGACAAAAATAAATAAAATTTAAGAAAAATTGATATATTTATAATTTTTTTAAAAAAATTATAAAAAATTACGATTTTCCTTTTTGAATGGGAATTTTCCTTTTAAGATTGAAACTTTTCGTTTTTTGATTGGACCTTTTACTTTTTTGAATGGGAAGCCCTGTATGTTGAGGGCCTGGCAGTCATACCCATCAAGACAAAAAATGAATAATTTCAATCTAAAGATATTTAAACTAGATTTTATTTGATACCCATATCGATATTTTGTGGTGATAAAAATATTCCTGACCTCCAAGACCTAGACCCGCCCTCTATGATTGATTATTATTATTACAATAAAAAAATATTTTTATTAGCTTTTATTTATACCCATATCAAAAAAATTATTTTTTACACCCCCCTTTACCTCTACCCCCCCCCCCCAGACCAAGTCATACCCATCCAGACCAAGAATGAAGAATTTCAGTCAAACGATATTAAAATTAGCTTTTATTTGATACCCATATCAAAAAAATTTATTTTTACCTCCCCCTACCTCTACCCCCCCCCCCCCCAGACCAAATCATACCCACCCAGACCAAGAATGAAGACTTTCAGTCAAACGATATTAAAATTAGCTTTAATACCCATATCAGTATTATTTTTTACACCCCTCCCCCCCCCCTCAACCCCCACCCCCCAGACCAAGTCATACCCATTCAGACCAAGATGAAGACTTTAAGTCAAACCATATTTAAATTAGCTTTTATTTGATACCCATATCGATATTATTTTTTACACCCCCTTTCAACCCCTACCCCCCAGACCAAGTCATACCCACCCAGACCAAGAATGAAGACTTTAAGTCAAACCATATTAAAATTAGCTTTTATTTGATACCCATATCGATATTTTGTGTTGATAAAAATATTTCTGACCCCCAAGACCTAAACCCGCATATTATGAGGGAGAGATTGACCTCTTGAATGGATCTTTTGATTAGCTATCGAGATACCCTATATTAGACATATCTTGTTTCATAAGGCCAAAAAAAACAACATTGAAAATTAATGAATAACAATAAAATTATTGTCTCGATATCATATTTATCAAAATATAAATAAAATAATGATTTTTAGATATTAATATAATATATTATTAATATTAATAATTATTATATATCATTAATAAAATAAAATAATATAATATATGATTAAATGATTAATAATAATTATTAGATTTCAGTAACAACCACGGTCTGTCGGCAAATTATATTTTTTGTGGAGTTAATGTTTTGATCATTTTTATAAATGAAGGATTTTCAACAATTGAAAATGGCTGAATGCTATCTATAATAAAATCAGTTATTAAATCATCTAAAGTGGTTTGGGTTAAAAGGTCTTTTGGAGAAAAAATCATGGACGATGAGCCTAGTACAATATTTTCTTTAATAGATTTTTTCTCCTTCCCCTTTTTTATTTGGATTAAGAGTGTTTGATGTTTTCTCTTAAAATTTAAAATTGTAAACAATTATTTAGTATCTATACCTTTAAATGTTTTACAATGTTGCAAGTTGAGGTAATGCTAACTAAAATTTGCATATTTTTTGGTAGACATGGCAAACATTTTACTAACAGAGATTTGTTTTCTTTATTTTGAGATATTATTTTAATATATGGTCAAATTGGCCATGGAAGAATGTTGTCATTTTCGTCATCATATTAATATTAAAAATTAATATAATAATTAATATAATAGAATAAAATAAAATACCAATTCCATTGTAATTAAAAATGGCAAATTCCTTGAGATGGATTGTAATATCAGAATTTGCTTGTTATTGATAACTCGGACATAATATTTAATTAATATTTATATATTCTTTTTTATATATAAGTTTTCATATTTTACATATATACATAATTTTTTAATATATATATTAATATTAAGTTATATGCTCATATGAAATAAAATAAATTTTACATTCAAGTATTTTTATTTATAATATAAAAAAGCGTTAAATAGAAGTACATCAAAATGTATCTTAAAAAGTATCTAAAAACAAACACAGATACCTCTAAAATAATATCTAGATACAGATACTTTAATAAAAAATCTATCTAGATACAGATACCACATTTTTATATCTAGATACTTTGTTATTTTATTGATTGGGTAATGGAATTCGCAAAAGAAACTTTCCATGATTTTGAAATTTTTAAAAAATGTTATTTCGCAGCCAATATGAAGTTGGTACATTTCACGTGATATCACGTGATATTCATAAATATTATGTTTTTTTGTCTTCATTTGATTTTATATTTTATTTGTTTATTAGTGTTTAATTTAATTTGAAGGGTATTTAAATTGCGCTTTGAAATTTTTTTAATAAAATTTTTAACATAATTTATTTCTAAAGTAAAAACAACAATTTTAGATTCTTATATTCTACTCTATGATAATTTAAAATTTTTACACTCTTCAGTTAAAGTATATTATTCCAAACTGTGATTTAGCATTTGATTCTCATTTATTCCAAGCCATTTATTTTTCTACAAGTTATTATTCTGACAGTTAAAAAAGTAAAAATATATTTGCTCTTTTACATATATACACAATGATTTATTAATATATAATTGCTTTTTTAATTAAATGATTTTTTAGTGATTATGTTAAAGATTTGTATATAGTGTGGTGTGAATAATTTTTAATTATATTATATATGATACTTTTTGTAAAATATGATTCAAGGTTTTATTTCAAAATCAAATTAAATATTGATTTTATATTTATAATCAATAATTTCTTTATTTTGCTGTATACTTAAAAATAACAATATATAACTCAATTATAGTAACTGATTTAATTTATTTAGATAATTCCCATTCTAATTATGAAATCTGTCAAACTATCTGACTTACGTGGACTCAGATCCATGAGCATTGATAAAGATATGATTGATGATGTGATAAAGTTTGAAAAGGATCTACCTATTCCAGAAGTGCCTCCTGGTGGTGCAAGAGTCAAAGTTTATTATTCATTAAATAAATTACCCATTAAGTAGAAGGGGGTGGGTCTATAATATAATGAACTATAGTGAAAACAATGAATAATTCTATTATATCTTTGAAATTAATTTTGTCAGTTTATATCTTTTGCAAATATTGCCTTTATTTTCAAGGTTAATTCTATTACATCTATATTTCCTTTTTGGGCTCTCAATTTGAAATGGCAGAGTTGTTAATTCACCTTTTTAAAGTGGCTAGCTCTCACTCTCATAAGGAGCTATTACATCTATTTTTCCTTTATGGGCTCTTGATTTGAAATGACAGAGTTGTTAATTCACCTTTTTAAAAGTGGCTAGTGCCCACTCTTACCACATCAAAAGGAGCGCTCCCGTTACTAAATTTTTAAAAGGAGCTAGCTTCTGCTTCAAGTAATGGAATGCCACTCTATAGCTGCTCCTTTGATTTTCATTTTTATATGAAGTACATATCATTTTTTATCAAAAAAAGTTTTATTTATATTATTAGTGCTGTGAAGTAACGTAAAAAAAGTAACGCCGTTACTAACGACGTTACTTTTTTGAAGAAAAGGAACTAACGCGTTTCTATTTTTGAGTAACGGTAGCGCAAAACGTTACTTTATATTTTTTCTTAAAAAATATCAATAAAAAGAAAAACATATTTTAGTGTATTATAAAATTACTTTTATTTATTTTTTAATTCTTAATATTAATAATTTAAGCCGAGTTTTAATTCATATCAACCACTTACAACTTTTTTTTCTAAATTCAAGTTAAATTATCAGTCGAAATTAATATTCAATCAAAATTCAGAGTAAATATAATGATATTATTAATTAATTAATAATTTATTTTAAAAGAATATTAGTCAATAGGACTTACTTCTTCAGATGAAGAAGATTTTACCCTTCCCTGGCCCCAATTTGATAAAGAAAGAACAGGCTTGATTCCTTTATTCAACACACACTAGAATATTTTCAGATAATGATAAAATTTTGATGAGGAAATGAATGAAGATCTCTGCGAAGATGATCTTTCAAGCTTTTTTCAAAATAAAGATATTTCCTTAAATATTTTTAATAAATTCCCCGAATTGAAATGTTTTTTTATTAAATATAGCACCACTCTCCCATCCTCTGTGCCAATTGAACGTGTGTTTAGCACGGCGAAAGCTGTGTTGAGTACTAAGCGCTCATGTTTATCTGATCAAAATTTTGAAAATCAATTGTTGTTAAAAATAAATAAAAATTGTTACATAAAGATGTTATCTTATAATATATTATTTTTGTATAATTTTATTTAAAAAGATCTTATCTTATATGTTCTTTTTGTATAGTTTTATTTTATTATATATTGTCCTTTTTGCATTATATATAACATTTAATTTTTTTAAGTAACGAGTAGCCCGTTACTTTTTTGAGAAGTCGGTAACGCGCGTTCCTTTTGTAAAATGGTAACGGTAACGCGTTTCTTTTTTGTAGTAACGTTTACAGCACTAATATTATATGATATATCAAAATATTTATAATCTTTTATTTGCTTTTAAAAGTAATAAATTTTTTCAATTTGAATCTAACATCCACACCTCTCCCCTAAAACTTATTTAGCAATACTAAACAGGGTATTGTATTTTATAAAAATATTTTTAATTTAGGAAATTTATCTATCATTATTTAAAAAATATTTGTTCAATATATTATCTTCCTGATTATCAATTTCATGGAATCCAAAAAAATCTTCAAAATTATTGCAGGTTTCCCATGAACTAGTAGTTATTTTTTGCATCAGGAATTTGTTTTCGTAAAAAATTAAACTGAAATATATAAATTGTTTTCTTATCCATTTTGGATAATAGCTACTTGTACTTTCGTTGATCAATATTTTTGGCTATTGATTGTATCGGATAAATTTCATCAATTCGTGGTATAGTTTGAATTGTTTCTAGTAATCATCGACATTTCAGCTAAAAACGCCATTCGCCATGTTCTTCAATGATACCTGATATCTAAATATCTTTTTTAAAAGAAAGAACATTTATATTAAATAAACCTGGTAACTGGGGTGTGTATGGATGAGGATAGATTGGTTTTTAATAATTATAAGGGTCCTATGGGTAATTCATAATTGAACTTGGTCATTGTTTTGTGGTTATATATTGAGTATTTCCATATTTAATAAGAAAATCTTGTATTTTATTATAATCATTGTTTTTTTAAGAACTAAAAGTTTATACTAACCGCTACAATTCTCCTATGGTTTTTGTGTGGTGAACTATATACAGTTCTAATTGATAATTGTTTGCAAAATATACTGAATTCTCTATCTAGAAATGGTGGCCCATTATTCATAACAATACTATTGAGGTAACCGAAAATAGAAAAAAACAATATTTTTTTCAAAAGTTTTTGTATTTCAGGCCATTTGCTAAAACTATCTATTATTTACTAGATATATATATATCTCCTTTAATTGGTCCGGCAAAATCTAAATGAATTCTTCCCCATAGTTTATTTACTACCGCCAGGGTTATTTGCTTGACATAATTCACAATTCTTACCATATAATTCAATGTCTTCGTTAATATTAGGCCACCAAACGTTCTCTTTTGCCAATAATTTTGTTTTATTCTGGTGCCTCATATGTAAAAAAGACAAAATATTTACTTGTAATATTTTTAGAATTATGGTTTTCCATACACTGCCTCCATCTTGCGTTCATTTCGGTGATGGAAAAACAGTTTTAGATTTTCCTCAGTGGTTTATAATCAGTGATTATAGTAAAATGATTACTAATTAGAGATTTTTTAAAAATTAATCCAAATTTGATTGCTAAAGCCTCACGCTCTGTAATTTTGTGTGGCGGCATTTAATGTTCGAGAGGCGAATCCAACCGGGTTTTCCTCGTTATTAATGATATGAGAACTGATCCTATTCCATTTTACGATGCGTCAGTAGCTAGAATCTTTTTCGAATTATAATGCGTTAAAATTAGTGCTTCAGATATTAATTTTTTAAATGTATATTAATTGCTTTTATTTCATTATCTGTCCATTTCCATAGCACATCTTTCCTTAAAAGTATAGATAATGGAGCGGCAATAGTCGAAAAATTGTTTATTAATTTTTGATAATTATATCTATAAAAGCTTGTAATTAAATATACATAACAAAAAATAACAAAAAAAAGAAAAGTAAAAAGATCGGATCGGTTTTTACAGATTTTTTGGAAAACGCTAAATATCGGTGCCGATTCGATATTTAATATCGGCACAGTCTTAATTTATATATCCACACAAAAATCAAATATATTCATTTTTTTACATACAATTTAAATTCTACATTTTGTATAATTTAAATTTTATTTATAAATAAATTTAGGTATGTTATGCTGGTGCTTGTTATTTCCAAGATGAACATAAGAACAACCCACCACCTAGTCCTGTAAATGTTAAAGGAATCAAGGATACTTCCTTATTCTCTGGTAAATAATATACTATTTCGTTTGTTGAAATAAAAATTTGGCCTGCAATATTAACAATTTTAGTAAGCGGAAAATAATTCCCCGGAAAAAAAATCCCCGGAAATTAATTCCCCGGAAAAAAATCCCCAGGAAAATAATTCCCCGGAAAATAAATACCCTGAAAATAATTCCCCGGAAAAAAATTCCCCAGAAAATAATTCCCAGGTAAATAATTCTCCGGAAAAAAAATCCCCGGAATAAAATTCCCCTGGAAAATAATTCCCCGGAAAAAATTTCCCCACTATACATTGAATTGCTAATGCATTGCTAAACTGCATTGCTAAAAAGCAATCAATCATTATCAATTATAAATCAATCAAAAATTTATTACGCATATTTTTTTAATGATAATTTTTTAAACTTTTTTTAAAATATATTTAAATCATTTTTTTATTATAAATGAAGAATACTGATTAAATGATATAGTATATAATTTTATTTTTATTTAATATTATTAGTAAGAAATTTATTTTTTTAGCTTATTAAAACAAATATACATTTTATTTAATTTTAAAAATTAACAAATATATATCCGTAAGAGGGCGTTATATGTTTGAATATGTATCATTTTAGGAAACCGGAATGATGATTGGATAGCACTTTTTTTATATTTGGGTATATATATACATATGAAAAACCTAAAAATTAAAATTTTTTTTTAGGTTTCTTTGATGTTTAATGAGTAGGTTTAGAATAGTAAAACAATGGAAATTTTTTAAAGTAAATATTGCTGGCGTTATTTATCAAAATCTCTTCATTTTTGTTTTATACGTGTATATTTACGTGCTAAGCATTATTCTAAAAAATATTTTGAAAATAATTTGATTTGACCGATTGCTGAGTTCAAAACCGACCACTCACTAAATATTCGATTGACCAAATTTGTTAGGAATATAATTTGAAAAATGTTGATTTTCGTTTTATATATCTATAAATACGTATAAAACATAATCCTAATAATTCCTCAGAATTAATTTTATCAAAATTTTTAAATATTTTATTTGAGAATTATTATTTCGTTGATTTATTTATAGGGGCAATGCATTAGCAATTCAATGTATAGTGGGGAAATTTTTTCCGGGGAATTATTTTTCAGGGGAATTTTATTCCGGGGATTTTTTTTCCGGAGAATTATTTACCTGGGAATTTTTTTCTGGGGAATTTTTTTCCGGGGAATTATTTTCCGGCTATTTTTTTTCCGGGGAATTATTTTCCTGGTGATTTTTTTCCTGGTGATTAATTTCCGGGAATTTATTTTCCGGGGATTTTTTTTCCAGGGAATTAATTTCCGGGGATTTATTTTCCGGGATTTTTTTTCCGGGGAATTATTTTCCGCTTACCGGTTATTAGGGCTGGCATCATCAACATTACTGTTATATATTAACATGTAAATATTTAAAGATTATTAACCTTATATTTTTATTATATTTTCGTTAATTATATCTAATGAATATAATTGAATATGAAAATAGGAAATTTTTATGTACAAATATTTATTAATAAAACAGTTTTTAGTTATTACAAATTAGAGTTCAGATATAAAAAATTAAAAAATTGCATTTTTACTACAATTACATTATACCACAAATACCAATATTTTCTTAGTTTACAATAAAATCTAAAATCAATTATTGATAGTGATTTTTAAACCAATGCTCATAAATTATAATGTTATATCTTTTGTTGTGTGAGGGAGCAGAGATATCATGCATTTAAAATCCCAATAAATCTTATACCACTATCACATAATACAAGAGGAATCCATTGGGTCATGATATATTATTAAATAATAAATCGGGCTAACATTAATATTATATGTGCGCGTTAAATCATATCGTAATTTTTGCTTAAGCTTATATCGTCAATGCTCAATATTTCCAAACTTTTCATTTATATCGGTATTATGGAGCATTAATTTTATTATGAGTATTTATATTTTTTGATTCTAAAATGACCCACAAACTATTTGGAGCTACGAATGTAACATATTACTTTTATTATGGGCTTACATCTTATTATTATAGAAATAGCCCCCAAACTATTTGAAGTGATGAATTATCTTTTATCAGGGATGCAATAGGAGAATAATGCCCATATAAAATGTATTATTAATATGTATTAAACCTCGTAAACACCGCCTTACCCGAAATATTTTTAGGTTTGGCCTGTCCAATATATTTTTAAATTGTTAAGTCCAGCCCTGTCCGAAATATGATAATTATAATATAGAAAATATATGATTTTTTAATTCATTTTGATATGTTCATGTTTATAACGTATAATTATGATGAAAAAAATATAAATTAGGTTTCGAAGTTTCTGGCCTGATTGATGAGTTGAGTGAAACTTGTTCAAAGGAAAAGGGATTTAAAGTTGGAGATAGGGTCATTATATACCCTTACCCTGGCCTTACTATATCTGGGTAAAAATTTGTTTCTCTTTGCGTGTTATTGCATTTTAAATTCAATTTTGAATATTTATAATTATATAATATACTATAAAGTAAGGATGTATCAATTTGGGCTGGCGTGGTTGGGTTTTCTAAAATATTTTCAACATGGGGCCAGTAGCAGGCTGAATTTTTAGTATTTTTCAAGTGAAATGAGCAGAACAGACTTAAAAAAATAATAGTTTTGTTTCATAATGTTGTATATTTTATATGTTTAATTAAAAATACATTAAAATTAATAAATAAAGGGCGTCGGGTGGGTGAGCTTAAAATCGGTCCATTGCAGACCTCTAGTACAGATACCACTTTCTGGAGGCCGATACGATATTGTCGATATTTAATTGATATCGGCCGATCCGATATCATAATCAAATTTTGTTCATTCTATATATTTATTATATTTTAATTTTTATTATATCATAACATAAGTCATTTAAAAAAATATACTATTATCAAATTTTAATTAACTTATAATTTTAGGCTTATTTATTCATATGATAAATTATTTATTTATATAGTAAAATCGTTGTTACCTTTTTTTTGTTCCTAAGGTTTTTCTATCGTGTATAGAGTAGAATCCGATTTTGTCTATTCATGAACAATTAAATTGTTAAAATATTTTTAAATTCATAAACATTCTTTTAAAAATAAATAATTATGTATTTTATTATATTTTTAGTATATTTTCAATTATTTATTTCGTTTTTTAAAAAAAATTATCACTTTCAATTATATATAAATACTTTGAAATTTGAATAAATTTATAAAATTCTAATTAAGACGCCATTTCATCGGATTCAATAGGTAAATTTAATATCGGCCGATTGCATATATTATAAAAAAGACGAAAAATCGGCCCAATTTGATAAAATATATCGGTATTATACTATAAAGTTAAGGTTATTAAAATATATTGTGCGAAAACCAAATTGGCTTCATTAATTATATGTATTCTTTTATTGCTTATTAACCGTGTTTAGGGGGAAACACCTTATTTATTACTACTACACTACAATCCTTATATAAAATATAATTACTAATGTTATTGCAATTTTTCAATTATAAAATCATAGGCTAAACTCGTTTAAGCTAATGAAAAAATTCCAATGTCCATAATTCAAAAATGAACTCCCAAAATTTTACCCTGTCATGTCTACTATAAATGGAAAGCCCTTTAATAAAATTAACGGCGAAAGAACTCACCTAATAGTATCTCCCTTAGCAAAATTATGGTTAAGTCTAAGTCTTGGATATAATATTTGTCAGAAATTTATCATTGCCGCAATAATTTGCAAAATTAAATTTGAAAACGGAACCTTCCCTAGATAATAGATTTTTACATTTCAAAAAAGTTACTCGGAATATGTGGCGGTGCACGATGTGCGATATCTGATAAAGGTCCAGGACAATGTTCCCCTCGATGTGGCTGCCATGCTTCCAGCTGGAGGACTTGCCGCCGAGTCAGCCATCATCAAGGCCCGACCCTTCATTGAAAATATGCTTCTCTCTCAGGGTTTATCTTTATGTGATTGATTATTTTTTTTTAAGATTGAATGATTCATATTCTGGCCTTAAAATTTATACTCTTAAACCGATAATGAATTTAACGGTTAATTTTTTAGTTTATAATCGTGTATGAATTTTTATTTTTCATTATTTTTTTTTACATTACCCCTATCCGAAATATTTTTAGATTTGCCCTGTTGGCAGTGATTATATTATTTTAGTTTGTCTAATATCATGTTAAAATTTTTTATAAGAAGGATATCTGTAAATAGTTAAAAAATTAGAATTTCTGTCAATATTTTCATCCCACCTAATAAAAACATAAAATTTTAATCAATGATTAATGGCATAGTTTTAAAATCGCGAAAATTATCAAATATTAGAATATAATAATTTTTTTTAGTTAAGACTAAGTATAGGTCTCGGTATTCCAATATATTTCTAATCTAAACTAGCATGCCATCCATTTATACTTAAATTGCTAAATTTGTTAATCTTATTCATACAGATAAACTGACGATAATAATAGTCGGTTCTGGAGGCTTGGCACTGTGGACACTTAAATTCGCTAAATACATGGCTGAAAAGGATAATATAGCTAAGGACAAAATTCGTATAGTCATTGCTTGCACTAATGTAAAAACTTATTTAATATGATGTCTATTAAAATCACAAAAGAGGGTTTTGTTCTTGAAGGATTATTTTAAGAATGTTTCTAAATTAATAAACATACCATCAAATTCTTAATAATTTGTCGGCAAAATATTTTAAGCATTCGAAAAGAATATGATAGTGAAAACACTAATCATTAATATAAACGTGAATCAGATCATCAATGATTAATAATGACATATTTATGCGCCTTTGGAAATTTTATTTTACGAAAATCACTATTTTGGTACATATGTTTATAGTTATTTTATTTGTATAATAAATGCTTATATTTATCATTAGGACAAACTAAAATTATATAATGATTTATAAAAATAAATCTTTTTATAGTTTGGTATAAAGAGTAGGAAAATATAAGTTTTGATCATTTACTATATTTTTCCAGTGAGCGCACAATAGGGGGTTAAGAATATGATTATAAAACTTGGGCTGTGACAATATTAAATATCGGATCGGGCAGATAACTGTAAAAACCGATCCGATCTTTTTACTTTTCTTTTTTTGTTATTTTATGTTATGTATATTTATTTAACATTGTATTTTTTTTATCTATTATTATATAATTTCTTTAAATTATGGTCTTAATTATAGAAATAAAAAAATTAAATTAAATGCATAATTCGATTTTTGCATAAAAAATATTGATTTTTTAATTACATTTGGTTCAAATGGGGGTGGTGAAAAATCAGTAAAAATGTCAGAAACAGTATCGGATCGTAACGGTGAAAAATATGTAGATCGGCACAGCTCTAGAAAAAATCATATATTAATATCAGATGTTAATTATTGTTATAATAAAATATAAGGAAGCCGGTCTCTTAACTGCTCTGGATGAGGGCTGTCATGACGTAGTGCATTGGAACGAAGGAGAATTTGAGCAGAATCTGCTTCAGCGCACGCGAAACGTATGCCTTGGTTATGCCAACATCATCATAGACTTTGTGAGCTCCCACCGCACTGTCCAAAGGTCCTTGAGGTGCTTGGCAGATGTAAGAATAAATAATGAATGATATATATAATATTAATAGAACTTCTATAAATGAAAGGGAAACAATATAATTAGATAGTATAGAGAATGAACTTTGCTTCAAACTATATATTTCTGAAAAGCAATTTCGCTAGATGTTAATATTTAATTTGATGTTAATATTTAATTTTTTTGATCATTTTGGAAGCTTTTTTTGAATAGCTACGACTGAACATACCTTAAAAATACTCATGCAAAGCACTTGATGGGAATTATATAGAATTCGGGAGGAATTTATAAAGATTTATAATTGGATTTAAAAAGAAATGAAAAGGTTGAAATTATATTAAAAATTATTTCCTTTTTTTGAATAAAACCTCAAAAATAATTTTAAAAAAATAAAGGGCGGAGTCTTGTTTGTGGGTGGTCTTTCCGGGGCCGACGTTCGTATTCCATTGCGCCCTCTAGCTGTGCATAGTCATAGCATAGTGGGGGTTGGTCGGGGAACTGAGGAACAGCTAGCAGGCTTAGTAACTAAAGTATCTCAAGGAATAATTGTCCCTCCTCCTTTCACTGTTTTCCCCATAGAAAAGGCTGGCGAAGTTGTGAGAAGGCTCAGCCATGGCGAGATCAAAGGGCGTGCCGTACTCAAGGTTTGATCTTGTGAGCAAAAATATTTTCTCTTCATTGTTTCACTTTACTATTTAAATATTTATTCATTATATTTAATTTTGTTCTATTTCATAGGTATTGTGAAATAATGTTTGTATTTAATCAGTAATGTATTATTTATATTAAATTTTGAACCAACCATATGCATATCACATTTTATATGAATTTGCTTTGAATGGCATTTTACCTATAATTATTCTAGCACAACGAATATTTTCTCCCAATTATATCTTAAGTAAAACATTATTTTTCTTTCCTAAAAATGTCATAATTACCATAATTTGGATATTTTTGATGACGCTTCTCAATTAAAATTTACACATATATACATCTTGTCTTTCATATTAGTGAAGCTTATTATCATTCAATATAAATTGCCCTTTGTTACGTTTTTTTCCGCGAAAATATTCGATTCGAAATCCATTGTTCTTTTTATTTAGAGAATTACATATTTAACATAAATAATCTCATATAATGTTACTAGTTTGTTAAATCTTGATATTTTATTTATATAAGTATTAAGATTTTACTCCTTTCAAACTCATCAACAAAGCATACCGCCGGTAAAAATACTCATCGTATTATAATTAGATGCTAACTTAAACGTCGAGTTTTAAAAAAAAATATCAAAATCACACTTTTTCAGATAGTTAAAATTTTTTTTATCAAATTATTTATACATATTATTTATATTAAATTAGATGAAATTTGTTATGCCCTACAATATTACTTTCCCACAATAAAATTTATTAATTTTTATAATTTATAGTATATTAAAATAATCCCAAATTTAATTTTACTTTATATTGTTATTTTTATATTTTAATTAAACATGATCTAAAGTCAAAAATGATATTTAATATATTAGACAGTATACTTATTATTTATTTATATTTTTGGAAAAAATTGTTTATAAACCGTTATTGTTACTTACGAATATACCTATCATATTTTTAGATGTTTTTAACCAATAAAAAAGTTTTATATTGTATTATATGTTTTATTCATTCACGTTTCAGAATCCATTTTTAATTTAAAATAATTTACTGTTGCACGCTAATAACTATAAACAAGAATATGATCGATAACGACCAGATCGGAGGGAGACTTGATGGCTCGAATGACATGGTAGGAATAAGGAATAATCTGGATTAAGAAGGATTCCAATTCTGAGTATATTTTTTCAAATTGGATTCGACATAAAATTAAAAATTGGGTTTTGATTTTTGAATTTGATACGATTCCGGGTTCAGATTCCAAACTGTTAAAGCCAGGGTTGGAAGTCGGTTAATTGACCGGTCAAATTCGGTCAATTGACGGAAGGAGTATTTGACCTGAAAATGTGTGAATAACTATATTGATTTAATTAACTAATTTGTATTTAAAGCATATTTATCAAAATTTATTTATAAATTTTTTTAGAATATATTTGTATCATCCAAGGCATCAATTTAATTATAATTTTATATAAAAATATAAAATTTTCATAATATTAGAATTTCAATTTGAAATATAAAAAAGAGTTTTTCTCATTATTAATTTGATTGGATCTAAATATATGAATAAATATAATAATTTTACTTAAGCAGGGTTTGAGAAAATTACTAATTGCCAATTTATATTACATTATATACAATTATCAATAAAAATGAGCAAATACACATATGCAAGAAAGTTCTGAAAGCAGCTATTGAAGAAGTTGGATATTTGTCCGAGAGAAATTACCAATAATATATTAAATGATATTTTGGACAAAAATTATAGCATTTTTCATAAACATTTAGCTATCTTATTTACCTTGGCTCACTTAAAAAACGAGATGCTTAATTTAGAAAACACATAATACAATATGTCTATGATTTTATAATTTACAACTTAAAGAAAAAATACGTTTGAAAAAGAAAACAATCCAAATTGATGTGCTCACACTGCACTGCTGATTATTTATTGGATCTCCAATATAAGGGGAGCATCTTACTTGAGTTTGATGAAGCATATGACATAATATAAGATTAGTCGTTTTATTAAGTGATTATCATTTTAAGTGATATCATAAATTTCATAAGTAAAAGCGGCGATATATTTAATAGCCAAAATATGTGGAAACTAATAACTTTCATAAAAACAATCCGATTTCGGGCTCAAGTTATTGGAATGGACTTTGTTCGCCTTGAATAGAAGTGTCTAAGAAATCTGATTGAAGATCTCGACAACCAGAAGATTAGTAGGAGTATATCATAACCTAAGATTGATTAAAAAATGTTAAAGAAAAGATAAAATTGAATATAAATTAGAACAAGGCTCTGCCATGGATGAAACATTAATTATAGAATTTAGAAAAATGTAATTTAATATACATGCATTTTTTACTAAAATAGAATTAATATTCTCTTAAAGAACATTTATTTGAATTTGACCGGTCAAATATCTGTCAATTGACCGAATCTTATTTGACCGGTCAAATGAACAACCCCTGGTTAAAGCAATCAAAAAAAATTTCTACCAAATGAATAAGTAGCATTTTGGCCAATATATAAATTATCAATACTGTATAGTGGCGCGCTAAAAATTACTTTCCAAAAAAGCTACTTTCTCAAAAAAATATCGCGCTATAACTATTATATTTTAAATATAGCATAACTATTTAGCAGCTACATAACTATGTCTTAATTTTTTTTACCCTTAAGTAAGAGGGCGATTAAATTAAATATTGCAGTTCCAATTATATTTTTTTTATAATCGCAAGGCAAATTTTTATTCATATTTGAAATATAATAATAAGATTTTAGTTATATATAATTTTAATTAATATATTATTTGTTTTAAGAGAATATGTATCTCAAAGTTCTAACCTATAAAATAACATATTTTTTCACCAAAGACATCCCTTGCTATTGCTAGACCATGGGATAAGGAGTATTATATTTTATGAAAATGGTTTTAAAAAAGGAAACTTAAAATATTTGCTATATAATCAATATTTTTTATATTATTTTTATCATCTGTAATAGATAGCATCAAAAAATTCAAGAACACGAGATGTTCTCGTTTTGTTAGGTGATTTTTTTTCAATGATGAGTTAAAATTATGTAATATCTAGCTTCTGTGTTAATTAGTTTTTCCTTAATTATTGTGTTCATCTCTAGTTTTAACCAGGATTTACCAAATATCTTATTTTCAGCATGCTCATAAATTTTTGAACAAAATTTAAAATTTTTTTGTAAGATAATAATTTGGGATTGTGAGCCGATTTTTTGGGATTTTTATAATCTATAGTTCAAAAGATTTTTGATAGAAAAATTCTTATGATTTTTTTTATAATAAAATCGTTGAAATGAAATTTATCATTTTAATTTTTGATCCTTAAACAGTGGCGTAAAAATCTTTTAAGCTATAGATTATAAAAATCGGCTCACAATCCCAAAGGATTATTTTACAAAAAAATTTTGAATTTTGTTCAAAAATTTATGAGCATTCTCAAAATAAGATATTTGGTAAACCCTGGTTAAAACTAGAGATGAACACAATAATTAAGTAAAAACTAATTAACACTGGAGCTAAATATTACATAATTTTAACTCATCATTGAAAAAAAAATCACCTAACAAAACGAGAACATCTCGTGTTCTTGAATTTTTTGATGCTATCTATTACCGATGATAAAAATATTATATATTTTAGACCCCCCCCCCCCTACCCACAAAGAATTTTTTTAGATTATACGTTCAAAAGACTCAAAAGTGACTTTATATCAAATAAATACTATTAATATTAATATTTTTCTGGTTTCGATGTTTGTTAAAGGTTATTATATATTATATTACTATTGAAATTATTTTGGATAGTATTATTATAAAGTCATAAAATGATCAATAATTCTAGGACTTTTATATTATAAGAAAAACTAATATAATTTTTAAGATAAATCCGGCCGAAGACCCGTTAAAGGGGGGGGGGATATATGTATAGACCTCCTCTAAGGAAAATTACTAGCTACCCCACTGTTTTTTAAGTTTTTTGTAAACCTCCCATTTTTAGTAAAAAATATTTTTACCCATTTTTTATTTTAAAATATTTGGTAATTGACGTGATTTTAATGTATTGATTTTTAATGTTAATTGATAATTGTCATAATACTCATCTCACAACTTTTTAAAATAATTTTAGTTTAAATATGCTAGAATAAATATTTTGACATGTTTCGAGATGGTTTTAGTGATTGTAAAACTTATAAAACTGGAAATTGTTATAATACTCCATACTTTTAAAAATAATATTGGTGAAAATAGGTGTGAATAAATATTTTGAGCATGTTTCTAGATAATAAGTGGTACTAAAATAAAGGTGATGATTGTTATACTCATTTTACACTTTTACAAATAAGTGTCCCCTTAACCGCAAATATCCTTTTAAATTTTTTGTTTAAAAATTTCTAATGATTATTGGAAAACCTAAGAAAATTTCAATAATTTAGATCCTATAAAACTAGCCTTTGACGCATGCTAGTAAGATTCACCCCCTCCCCCTCACCCCATTGAGCTATTAATAAATAATCTATTCATATTGTTATCATTCAAACAAATTAATTTTTATTTATTATATTTTATTTAATAAAGATTCGCTATTCAAATTTAAAAAGATCATATAATAATTTAAAACATTTTTATTTATTTTATTTACCTTTTTGTTTATAATTTAAAATAATCGAGAAAACATTTATTCAGCCTAATGTTATCGATTTAGCCGCGACTCAGACAAGTTTCTAGTCGTAAAAAATGCCCAGACTCTGAGCCAAAATTTATTTATTATTTAAATATTTTAAAAGAATATCATAATCTAGAATTCGTGTACCATGCCAAGTTCCCTCATATATTTTTATTATTTTTTGTTTAATTTTTTATACATAATAATAATAATGTATTTTATATATATATGTCGTATGGGGATTCGGAATCCGTGGGGATTCGGAATCTCTTGATTTTAAATCCTTTACCTAGGGCGATTTAAAAAATTTTAAAATCTGATTTAACCTAAAATGTATTCTGGCATGTGAAGAGTATTTACTTTATAAATCTCAGCCAATTTTGCCATGAACTTTAGAACTACTTCTAATTTATATTAATTTTTATATGGATTTTTCATATAAATTAGAAATTACTAAAATGTCTATGGCTGAAATTGGCTGAAATTTATAGGGTAAATACTCTACACATGCCAGAATACATTTTCGGTTAGACCGGATTTTTAATTTTTTTAAATCGCCCTCGGTAAAGGATTTAAAATAAAGAGATTTCGAATACCATCGGATTCCGAATCCCCATACGACATATATAATATAAATTAAAATATAATAAATATCTTTCAATTGTTTGATCTTTTTGGATATTTTTTGTAAATAATTTCTTGGGATTTTTTGATAATTTTTTATGGGAAAATTGCTCAAAGATTTTATTTTAGATTAATTACTTTTTTTATGTTATTTTATTTCTTTATTTTTGAGTTAAATATTTTTTTATGAATTTTGTATATGTTGTATTCCATATCAAATCAACTGAAGATTCAACCCGACCCTCTTCGATTTTTTTAAAAAATTTATATGATGGTAGTATATAGTCGTATTGGAATACGGAATCATAGGGGATTCGGAATCCCAACGTGGGGATTCGAGATCTTGAATCCCCACGTTTTATTCGGAATCTTTTTTTACAAATATTTTTAAAAAATATTCCGAATCCCCATGTATATTTTTTTAAATTTAAATTATATTTTTTTCTCTTCCTTTTTTTGCCGTCTGGCTGGCACCAGAAAAATTCATTTTTTAGAGATATTTTATTTTCTGTTTTTGTAAATTTATATAAAATAAAATCATAAATATATT